TCAGGTATTTGCAGACATAGTCCCTGAACCTTAGGGCATTTCAAGATCATGAGAAGAGGTAGGATTAGAAACTTTAGCTGAGGCTTGAGAAAGACAGAAAAGGACCTCAGACCACAGGACACCAAGATGCTGCATTAGCCCATGGACTGGAAGCTAGTCGTGGGGTGATGAGAAAAGGACGTAGAGGAGGAGATCAAGAATGAACTTGGTTGAGGTTTGACCTGATCAGGAAAAGTCATGAAAAGCCAAAGTTTACCTGGAATTGACTAGATTAAGTATTTTTGCCACCAGGCAGAAAGGGGGCTAGAAATAGAAATACTGAGATGATTTAGTTATAAAAATACAAATACTTCCCACACATTGGAGTTTAGGACTTAAGAATTTAAACTTTCAGCCAGATGCACTGGCTCACGCCTGAAATCCCAGCACTGAGGGAGGCTGAGGCAGGTGGATGACCTGAGATCAGGAGTTCAAGACCAGCCTGGCCAGCAAGGTGAAACCCTGTCTCTACTTAAAATACAAACATTAGCCTGGCATGGTGGTGGGTGCCTGTAATCCCAGCTGCTCGGGAGGCTGAGGCAGGAGAATCACTTGAGCCTGGGAGGCGGAGGTTGCAGTGAACTGAGACCATGCCACTGTACTGCAGCCTGGGCAACAGAATGAGACTCCATATCAAAAAAGAATTTAAACTCTTGTGTCTACAAATGTGATTTTTTTCTTTTTTTGTGAGATGGAGTTTCACTTTTGTTGCCTAGGCTGGAGTATAATGGCATGATCTCGGTTCACTGCAACCTCTGCCTCCCAGATTCAAACAATTCCCCTGCCTCAGCCTCCTGAGTAGCTGGAAATACAGGTATGTGCCACCATGCCCAGCTAATTTTGTATTTTTAGTAGAGATGGGGTTTCTTTTTTCTTTTTCTTTTTTTTTTAAAGATGGGGTTTCACCATGTTGGTCAGGCTGGTCTTGAACTCCCACCCGCCTTGGCCTCCAAAGTGCTTGGATTACAGGTGTGAGCCACCGTGCCCGGCCCAGCTAATTTTTTTTTTTTTAATTTTCTGTAGAGACAGGGTTTCACTGTGTTGGCCAGGCTGGTCTCAAACTCCTGACCTCAGGTGATCCACCTGTCTCAGCTTCCCAAACTGCTGGATTACAGGCATGAGCCACATGACCCGCTAATGTAGTTTTATTTATAAGAGGCATAACAATCCATGAACCAAGATTCGAATATCATTTTAAGTGAAAATAGTTTCCAAAACTACTTGTGATGTTTTCTACACTAGATTTTGAAAAGAATCTATACTTGCCTTAATTCATAAAACTAAATAGGAAACATTTCAAAATATACCCAAATGTTACTGAAATGTAAAGTCTTAATTCAGATGTTCAGTATCATATGACAAAGATACAATCTATAAAGTCGGATTGTTTTGTGTGTGTGAGTGAATCGAACCAATTTTTTTTTGAGACAAAGTCTCACTCTGTCGCCATTGCTGGAGTATAGTGGCACCATGTCTGCTCACTGCAACCTCCACCTCCCACTTCAAGCAATTCTCCTGCCTGCCTCAGCCTCCCAAGTAGCTTGGATTACAGGTGAGTGCCACCACGCTCGACTAATTTTTGTATTCTTTTTAGTAGAGACAAGATTTCACCATTTTAGCCAGATTGGTCTCGAACTCTTGACCTCAAGTGATCCTCCCACCTTGGCCTCCTGAAGTGCTGGAATTACAGGTGTGAGCCTCCACACCCGGCCAAAAAGTCTGATGTTCTAAAGTCACACTCAGAAGCTAAGCTTTCCTACTTTTGTGTGGATTTTTCTTTTGCCCAGTGCTATCTTCAGCACTATTTAGTACAGAAAGAGAATTTCATCAATTATTTAAATACAGAAATATTAATGCCATAAATATTTATTCAAAGAAAGTAGTCCTATTTTCCTTGTTGTCACCTTTTACTTCATTTTCTGTTATCTTGCAAATTCACTAGGTATATTTGCTTTTTCTCCTCCATGCCATATTTTATTTTCTGTATATTCTTCACCAGTTGATTTCAAAACTCTCTAATTGTTTATTTCTCAGCCATTACCTTATGTATACGCCTATGGTCTCCAGTTTTATATCAATTTCTCTTGGTTTTCATTACAGTGAGTAATTGATTTTGTCTGCCTTTTACTTTATCTATGGCTCTGAAATGCCTGCTCAGCCTCATTTTTTTCCATCTTGGATAAATGTATTTTTCTTGGTAGTTTCACGAGGATAAATATATATTTTCTCCCTGAAATTTGGATTTTATTTTTCTTTTGAGACGGAGTCTTGCTCTGTCACCCAGGTGGGAGTGCAGTGGCGCAATCTTGGGTCACTGAAACCTCTGCCTCCCAGTTTCAAGCAACTCTCAGCCTCCCCAGTAGCTGGGACTACAAGCGCACGCCACCATGCCCAGCCAATTTTTGTATTTTTTTTTTGACACGGAGTTTCGCTCTTGTTTCCCAGTCTGGAGTGCAATGGCGCGATCTAAGCTCACCGCAACCTCCGCCTCCTGGGTTCAGGCAATTCTCCTGCCTCAGCCTCCTAAGTAGCTGGGATTACAGGCACACGCCACCTAATTTTTTAGGTAAATACATAATTTTTTGTATTTTTAGGAGAGACGGGGTTTCACCATGTTGACCAGGATGGTCTCGATCTCTTGACCTCGTGATCCACTCACCTCGGCCTCCCAAAGTGCTGGGATTACAGGCGTGAGCCACCGCGCCTGGCCTGCCAATTTTTGTATTTTAAGTAGAGATGGTGTTTCACTGCATTGGGCAGGCTGGTCTCAAACTCCTGACCTCAAGTGATCCACCCGCCTTGGCCTCCCAAAGTGCTGGGATTACAGGTGAGAGCCATAACAGCCAGCCTTGGATTTTCTTAAATTTCTCTTCTTTCATTTTTTTTCTCTAATGAGCACTTCAGCTTTTAATAAAATTTTCTTCTTTTATCTAGTGAATACTCGTAAACTTTCTTTTTTTAGATTTATCGAAATGATGAGCTTCCAAGAGTACTGAATGCTAAAATCTCCTCTCATTCTGCATGGAAACGGTGAGTTCTGGAAGTAACTATTTACATTTCAAGGGTGTACTTGGGTTTATTGTTGCAACTCGATCTCCATTTATTAAGTGCCAACCCATGTAAAGAATTACCCAGCAACCAGAATTCAACTTGGTCAGCAGGCAAGGAGTCTCGATCAGACAAACTCGCCATTTTGAAATATGAACAATTACATGGAAGACGGCTGGAGAAGACAAGGGTCACATGCTTCTGTTTGCCACAGCAACAGAAATGTCCTGGATGGTCAGCCCCTGGATGAATGGCGCTGTTTTGAAACCGGTGGCATGATGGCAGTTTTGAAAAGACCCTGCTCAGATCTCCTGCTGCAGGTGTAACTGACTGAGAACCTCAACTGCTCTCCTCTGAATCTACCACCACCGCATTTACAACAAGGCTGTGCTTCCTGAGGGTTCTCCCCAGCCAGTGACTGCGGGATTATGGGATAATAAGGTCAGTTCCTTCCAGATTCTAATGCAGACTCGGGTCAGCCTGGCCAAAATCATCTCTGAGCTGCATTGCAGTCTGGAAGCCCCCTACTTACTCCCTTTTCCTTCTGGGGGTTGTGGGGGGGTCAAATTCCTCATTCTGGCTGGGCAAGGTAGCTCACCCCTGTAATCCCAGCCCTTTGGGAGACCGAGGCGGGTGGATCACCTGAGGTCAGGAGTTGGAGACCAGACTGGCCAACATGGTGAAACCCCATCTCTACTAAAAATACAAAAATTAGCTGGGCACGGTGGCATATGCCTATAGTCCCAGCTACTCAGGAGGTGAGTCAGGAGAATTGCTTGAACCTGGGAGGCAGAGGTTGTGGTGAGAGATGGGAAAGTTTTTCCTCAAAGTTTATATGTTAGATTACATTATAAGGATTTATACTCTCTTGCTCTATGGCCATTATCCATTATTAGCATAATCATATACCCATGTGTATATGTTCTAAATCAGCTACGTCTTAAATCAGCTACCTTGACTCGCTCCGGTATGTCTGAACAGAACTGGGCAAGCTCCAAACCTTGGTGCAGGCCATTCCTCATTTGGAAACCCTCCTGACCTCCTGACTGGCTTCCTCTTCTTCCATGTCTTCTTCCCCCTTATCTATTCAGGAAATGTCCAAGTTTTTAGCCAATCGGGTCAAGCATAGAATGTGAGGTTCTGTTCCGGCCAACGGAAACTGGACACAGCAGTAGGGTGACTGCATCAGGTTATGAAAGTTTATATATATATATATATATATATATATTTTTTTTTTTTTTTTTTTTTTTTTTTGAGACAGAGTCTTACTCTGTCATCAGGCGCCAGGCTGGAGTGCAGTGGCACAATCTCGGCTCACTACAACCTCTGCCTCCCGGGTTCAAGAAATTCTCCTGCCTCGGCCTCCTGAGTAGCCGGGACTACAGGTGCATGCCACCATGCCCATCTAATTTTTGTATTTTTAGTAGAGACAGGGTTTCACCATGTTGGCCAGGCTGGTCTCGATCTCTTGACTTTGTGATCTGCCTGCCTTGGCCTCAAAGTGCTGGGATTACAGGCTTGAGCCACTGCACCCGGCCAGGAGGTTATGAAAGTTATAAATGTCCCTGTCTCCCCTGTTCAGGTGTGCTCTTGTGGCAAGACTGCCGGCGAGTTGCACCTTCCTGCAGGAAGTAAACTAGCCTTGCTGAGTCATCCACTGTCTCGGTGTGGATTCTTCCCGACACAAGATCTCACCACTGTACTCCAGCCTGGGTGACAGAGCAAGACTCCATCTCAAAAATAAAAAAAGTTTCCTCATTCCTCCCTCTGCTTTTTTTCCTCATCAGTGTTTCCCCCATAATCTCTTGTACGAGGATCTTCTTGGCACCTATTTTTCAAAGGACCTGAACCAACACAGGGTGGAAAAATATAAACATAAAATTACTGATTTAGCCAGGTGTGGTGGTACACACCTGTGGTCCCAGCTACTCAAGACAGCGCCACTGCACCCCAGCCTGGGCAACAAATTGAGACCTCATCTGAAAAACAAAAATTAAAATTAAAAACATTAAAAAAAATTATTGATATAGTTTGGATATTTGTCCCTGACCAAATCTCATGTTGAAATGTAACCCCCAACGTTGGAGGTGGGGCCTGGTGGGAGGTGCCTGGGTCATGGGAGTGGATCCCTCATGGCTTGGAGAGCCAGTGGGTTCTCAGATCTGCTTGTTGTAAAGTGCATGGCACCTCCCCCATCCCTGCTCTAGTCTCTCCTTCTACCACCGTGAGTAAAAGCTGCCTGGGGCCTCCCCAGAAGCCAAACAGATGCTGCTCTCATGCTTTCTGTAGAGTCTGCAGAACCATGAGCCAATTAAACCTTTTCCTTTTTCTTTTTCTTTTTGAGACAATAGTGTTACCAAGGCTGGAGTACAATGGCTCGATCTCGGCTCACTGCAACTTCCGCCTCCTGGGTTCAAGTGATTCTCCTGCCTTAGCCTCCCAAATAGCTAGGACTACAGGCGCACGCCACCATGTCCAGCTAATTTTTTGTACTAAAATAGAGACACGGTTTCACCACGTTGGCCAAGATGCTCTCAATCTCCTGACCTCATGATCTGCCCACCTCAGCCTCCCAAAGTGCTGGGAGCCACCATGCATGAGCCACCGTGCCGACCTTTTTTTGTTTTTTTGAGACAGTCTCATTCTGGTGCCCAGGCTGGAATGCAGTGACATGATCTTGGCTCACTGCAACCTCTGTCTCCTGTGTTCAAGCGATTCTCCTGAGTCATCCTCTCGAGTAGCTGGAACCGCAGGGATGCACCACCACTCCCGGCTAATTTTTGTATTTGTAGTAGAGACGGGGTTTCACCATGTTGGTCAGTCTGGTCTCAAACTCCTGACCTCAGGTGATCTTCCCACCTCGGCCTCCCAAAGCGTTAGAATTACAGGCATTAGCCACTGTGCCTGGCCTAAACCTCTTTTCTTTTCTTTTTTTTTATAGTAGAGATGGGGTTTCACCATGTTGGCCAGGCTGGTCTTGAACTCCTGACCTCAGGTGATCCACCCACATCGGCCTCCCAAAGTGCTGGGATTACAGGCGTGAGCCACCACGCCCAGCCAACTTCTTTTCTTTATAAATTTCCCAATCTCAGGTATTTCTTTATAGCAACGCAAAGAATGCCCTAATATGATTTCTCCTTCACAGGCTGCCTCTTCCTAGGACTTGACTTGCCCTCCCAGGTCAGCAACTCTCCTCAAATGTCAGTCAAGGAGAGACACTTCGGCCAGGCGCGGTGGCTCAAGCCTGTAATCCCAGCACTTTGGGAGGCCAAGGCGGGCAGATCACGAGGTCAAGAGATCAAGACCATCCTTGCTAACATGGTGAAACCCCGTCTCTACTAAAAATACAAAAAAAAATTAGCTGGGTGTGGTGGTGCATGCCTGTAGTCCCAGCTACCTGGGAGGCTGAGGCAGGAGAACTGCTTGAACTTGGGAGGCAGAGGTTGCAGTGAGCCAAGACTGTGCCACTGCACTCCAGCCACCTGGTACCTGGCAACAGAGCAAGACTCTGTCTTTGAAAAAAAAAAAAAAAAAAAAAGGAGAGACACTTCATTTATTTATTTATTTACTTTTTACTGACACCACCACCCCGAGACACTTCATTTATAACCAACTCTCACACCAATCTCTTTCATCCTAAGAACCATTCCCTGGCAAGTATTAGAGCCCAAAAATAAAAAAAATGAACTAAAGAGAACCATTCCCTATGCCTCTCCTTAAAGGTACAGGAAGGGCCACGCTTCAACTACACCTTCCTCACTTTAACAAGAACGCGAACACACACGTACACACCACACATTCTTTCTCAAGTGCTAATATTCATTTCGAACCAAGTAAGCTTATCCTTTGAAGGCACTCTCCATTTCTCCCCTTAATGAGGCATAATTACTACAATAATAACAACACAAATAAAATGCTTCCCATAGGAATAGCATTTCTGGCTGGGCACGGTGGCTCACGCCTGTAATCCTAGCACTTTGGGAGGCCGAGGCAGGCAGATCACCTGAGACCAGAAGTTTGAGACCAGCCTGGCCAACATGGCGAAAACCCATCTCTACTAAAAATACAAAAATTACCCAGGTGTGGTGGCGCATGCCTGTAATCTCAGCTACTTAGGAGGCTGAGGAAGAATTGCTTGAACCTAGGAGGCGGAGGTTCCAGTGAGCCGAGATCGCACCACACCACGGCACTCCAGCCTGCATGATAGAAGTGAGACTCTATCTCAAAAAAAAAAAAAATGTCCAAGCCTTGTACATACACATCACCTCATTTGATCCTCATAATGACATCAAGGGTAGACATAGACCAGTAGTATTAGCCTCACTTCACAGAGACCGAGACTCAGACTGATGTCTCTAGGTACCAGTTTCCAAGTCTGTCCAATGAAGGACTGAGGCCTGTGATCTCTAAGAACTCTTCCACTTCTTTTTTTATTTAAAAAAATTTTTTAAATTTAATAAAGATGGGGTTTCACCATGTTGGCCAGGCTGGTCTTGAACTCCTGACCTCAGGTGATCCACCCACCTTGGCCTCCCAAAGTGGTAGATTACAGGCATGAGCCACTGAGTCCGGCTCTTCCACTTCTGAAATTGTATAATTTCCATAATTTATCTGAAATCACTAAGCTAGTAGTTAGTAGCAATTAGGGACCTGAGAGAATGACTTGGTGCCAGGCTGATTCTCCCACACCGTGTTATCTTTGCTGCCAACAGCAATGACTAACATCAGCTGTGTGATGTGCCCTGCACTGTGCTAGTTACTTACAAGCCATTGTTTTTTTATCTTATTTAATTTTTTTGAGACAGAGTTTCACTCTTGTTGCCCAGGCTGGAGTGCAGTGGCACGATCTTGGCTCACTGCAACCTCTGCTTCTTGGGTTCAAGCAATTTTGCTGCCTCAGCCTCCCAAGTAGCTGGGATTACAGGCATGGGCCACCATGCCTGGCTAATTTTGTATTTTTAGCAGAGATGGGGTTTTTAACCATGTTAATCAGGCTGGTCTCAAACTCCTGACCTCAGGTGATCTGCCCGCCTTAGCCTCACAAAGTGCTGGGATTACAGGTGTGAGTCACACGCTTGGCCAGGCCATCAGTATCGTCCTCCATCCCCCTGCCTAAATGTATTGCGATTTCAGTTACATACACACTTAATGGAGAAGCTGACACCACCCCTGCTCCAAGCATGTACTCTGATCGATACTTTCCATTCTGGCCACGGTCATTGGGTGACTTGGGGGCTCTGGCCTGTAATGCAGGAACAGAAGTCCACTCTCTCCCACTGGACATACATTAGGAAGCACTGGCTTCTACTGCCACTGGCAGCCTCTCTGTGGCCCCGAGGGGAAGCTGAGGATTCTTGTTTGAAACTGAGTTTTTAGTAGCTAAAATCTGAGATGTCTATACTGTATCCTTAAAACTGTGAACAAACAACATAGGCAAAGACAGATGAGGTCACTGAGACCCAGAGAGGTTACTAGACCTTGCCCAGCCTACGCTATCTACTGGGGGCAGTTAGGCCTAAATTACAAGTCTCCAGCAACTGACCTAGGGTTCTCTTGGCCTCAGCATGTACAGAGGCCCAATGTACAAAGATTCCGGATAAAAATCAGACTGTGATCTAGCTGATGAATAGAACCCAGAAGTATGTTTGAGGGGGAGGAAGGATGAGGGTAGGAGAGGCCTCCTTCTGTTCTGCTTTTTTGCCTTGAGGGGATGACACTTAACCACTGCAAGGGCTGCAGCTGAGCCCCGGGGACAGGACGGTCTCACTGAACCAGGCCTCTTTCCCTTCCCCCACTCTAAATCTCTGCCAAGCAGACAGCCTCTGAGACTGCTCTGGAGGAAGGGGCTTCCTGCCAAGTATCTGCCCACCTGGGGCCAGGGTGAGGGCAAGGCTAGTGGCTACATTCTGTGAACAGCTGGGAAAAAAGTGGGCAACACAGTGGCCTTCCCACTCTCCTTGTCAAAAAATAGCAGGATTAAAAACAAAAAAAAGAAGGGGAGGATATTTATTTAATCCTTTCGTTACAAATTAAAGTGCTGCTAATTTGTTTTCAAAAATTGCAGGAAATAAAGCAAAACAAAGAAACACAAAATACTTAAAAAGAGAATGAATAGCCATTTTCCCAACTCTTACTTACAGGTATATCTATACAATTTAGGCAGAATCCAAAAGGAAGGACAGTTTAATTAGTCCCTCCCTGGTTGTCACAGCAAATGTACCCGTTCATTTATTCGTGAAAGATTTGTTGATCACCTACCCTGTGCCCTGGAAAAGGCCCCTGCATCCAGCAGCTCACATCTTAATGGTGGGAGGAAGGAGAAGGGGAACAGACCATAACGAGTAAGTAAGCAAAATGATTTCAAACTGTGCCAAGGGCTCTGAGGAAAACAGGGTGATATGATAGGGAGCAGGGAAAAGTACTTTAGTTACAGTGTCAGAAATGCCTCCCCAAGGTGAGGTGGCTCACACCTGTAATCCAAACACATTTGGAAAGCTGAGGTGGGCAGATCACTTGAGCCTAGGAGTTTGAGACCAGCCTGGGGTTTCACGATGTGAAACCCAGTTTCTACAAAAATACAAAAAAAAAATCTGCTGGGCATGGTGGCTCATGCCTGTAATCATCCCAGCACTTTGGGAGGCCAAGATGAGTGGATCACCTGAGGTCAGGAGTTTGAGACCATCCTGGCCAACATGGTGAAACCTTGTCTCCACTAAAAATATAAAAATTAGCTGGGCACAGTGGCGGACATCTGTAATCCCAGCTACCCAGGAGGCTAAAACAGGAGAATCACTTGAAACCAAGAGGCAGAGGTTGCAGTGAACCAAGATTGCACCACTGCACGCCAGCCTGGGCAAAACAGCGAGATTCTGTCTCAAAATAAATAAGTTAATTAAGTCAACTTAAATTAAAAAATTAGCCAGGTGTGGTAGTGCATACCTGTAGTCCCTGCTACTTGGGAGGCCAAGGTTCTGAGCCCCAGAGGTTGAGGCTGCAATGAGCCAAGACTGCACTACTGCACTGGGCAACAGAGTGATACCCTGTCTCAAAAAAACATAAATAAATAAATAAAAGAAAATAAAAGGAGAAGAAAGAAAAAGATGGATGCCTCCCCAAGGTGACAGATAAACTAAGCCAGGTGAGAAGTCTAAAGAAATTCAACTGCACTCACGCCTATAATCCCAGCACTTTGGGAGGCCGAGGCGGGTGGATCACGAGGTCAAGAGATCGAGACCATCCTGGTCAACAAGATGAAACCCCCGTCTCTATTAAAAATACAAAAATTAGCTGGGCATGGTGGTGCGTGCCTGTAGTCCCAGCTACTCGGGAGGCTGAGGCGGGAGAATTGCTTGAACCCAGGAGGCAGAGTTTGCGGTGAGCCGAGATTGTGCCATTGCACTCCAGCCTGGGTAACAACAGCGAAACTCCGTCTCAAAAAAAAAAAGAAAAGAAATTCAAGTGCAAAGACCCTATGGCCAAATGGTCTTGGCAGAAAGCTGCTCCTGGAAGGCAGGCCTTAAAGGCCCTGGTGGAGAGCTCTGTTAGGACCCCCACGATAGGCAGGAAGGCAGCTAGATATATTAATGAGTCATAACGGGTGGTCCTGGTGGACTTCTGGAGTCTGACCTGGGTCCACGTTTGAGGTCTCCCATTTTAAAGACCCTGGGAAAGTTACTTGAGTTTCCTTATTTGAATAACCAAGGGTTTCTCATGTTTGATGCCAAATGCCTTTTGCAGGGATTAGCTCCAAACCTCAGCTTCATCAGTCAATTTATCCTTACATCCAAGAGCAACCATTTACAAAATGAGCTCAGAAAAAAAAAAACCCATAGAAATTTTAAATGGTAGAACATACTGCATAAACAAAGTAGAAGTAGATTCCCCAGGCAAAGCTGATTATATTGCTGGGATAATCGACTTTGTCACTGCTGTCTCACTTGGTACTTTTAAGAAACTCCATCTTGATCCTAGGTCTGGGTTGATCTGGGCATTCCAGCTAATTTTCCATTTCAAAAACCTAAAGCAATAAAAATGTTGATATTGACATTTATCATTTTTATCCTCGCCCTATGCCTTGTTAGGCTGGGAGATCTGTTCCACTTGGCTGAGTTTAGGGAGGGCGGGGAAGCGGGGGAGAAACCGAGGCGCAGGGTGGAGAAAGGGAGAAGCCTCGCAGACTGAACACATGAGAAAACCTGGAGAACGGATTCGCTGCCGCTAATTTCAAGGAAGAAAGAAAATCGAGAAGTGAAGCACGGAGGGGGTCAGGTCCAGGGAGCGGTGGGAAGGTTGCAAGGGGCCCCGGGGCAGGTGGAGCGCAGGCAGCCGGCACCTGGGGCCCAGCTCGGGCCGCGGAGTGCAGCCGGGCAACGGCTCTCGGGCTCCCGGGACCGGAGGAGATCAGAAAAAGGAGAGAAATGCAGAAAATGAGAGGAAGAGGAGCAGCACTCAGTGAGGGAAGGAAGGAGGCCAAGTCCGAGGAACGCCCGCAGGCACTCGCAGCTAAGCTGCGAGCCGGACTGGGCGGGGAGAGGGGGCCACGAAATAGGCGGGGCGCCAGGCGGCGCGAGGCCAATGGGAGGGTGGGCGGGTAGAAGGCGGGGCGCTAAACGGCACGAGGCCAATGGGAGGGCAGGCAGGGGCGAGGGCGGGGTATGAGGCGGTGCGAGGCCAATGGAAGGGCGGGCCGGGTCCTCCGGGCCGAGGCGGGGCGCCAGGCGGAAGGAAGCCAATGGGAGGGCGAGCTAGGGGCGGGGGCGGGGCCCCAAGCCAACAGGAGGGTGATGACGAGAGGGCGGGGCGCCAGGCAGCGAGAGAGCCAATGGGAGGCCGAGCCGGGGGCCGCGGGCGGTGGGCCTCCCCGCGCGGGGAGGGAGACCCGGAAGGCGGTGGGGGCGGGGAGCGGAGGGGACAACCTGTCAAATCCACTTTAGGGCGAACTAGGTCACGCGCTCCCCGAGCAGGGCGCCCCCGCCCGCGAAACCCAGCCGTGGCTCCTTCCTCTTCCTGCCTGCGGCGGTGGGGGCGGGGCGGGCCTCGGGACACCTGCCTCCGCGGCTGGCCGCCGGCCCCGCGCGGCTTCCCGGGCAACTCCGCCTCGGCCGCACACGCCCGGCCCGCTCGCGGCGGCAGGAGCCGGGGTCCCGCGGGACCTACCGCGCTCTCTCCCTGGCCTTCGGGAGCCCGCCGCTGCCTCGCCGGGAAAACCTCGCAACTCCCGCGGCCCCGGCCGTCCCCGCGCCGCTCCTTGTCGCGCGCGGCCGTGGACTCGTCCCCGCGGGTCCCCGTGTGCGGAAGCCGCGGGGGCTGGGGGCGCACTACTTGGCGCGGAAGGGTGGACCGCGGGCGGAGGGATCCTGGGCAGCGGGGGAAGCCGCAGGGAGGAGTCGGGAGGGGCCGCCGGGAGGAACCTGGCGCCAGCCCCCGCCCGCCCCACCCACGCGCGCCGCAGTCACCTGTTCCCCGCGGGAGCCCGGCAGCGCTCGGGGGAAGGCGCGCGCGCAACCGGGTCTGCTGCTTTGTGCCCGTGGAGTCGATGGGAGGGCGCAGCGCGCTGGGGTCTTCCGGGCCGGCGGTCAGCCTGCACTTTCCCCCTCGCGTGCGGACCGCGGCGTTCTGTCTCTAGGCAAACGGAAAGAATCAGAGACTCCGAAGGCAGCGTGGATCCCGCGGGTGCAGGGCTTGCTGGAACGCCAGGCGGTGGGATCGCGCTCCTAGGATTCTGCTTGGCCCGCGCGTCCATTTACCTGCACCGGGGACTCAGTGAAGCCGGATCTATCCAACGCTTGCAGCGTGAATGTGGAGGCAGACTAATCTGTTCAGTTATTTCTACCCATCCTTTTTTCTCCATGCTGATTTGCTTAGAACCTTAGCATTGGATGGACAGCAAATGGAATGTTTAATTTTCACTCCTTGATCATTATGTTAATTTCTCTCCAGAACAAGGTGACGCGTTAAGTAACAATGACCAAGTCATCTATTCTTCCAAATTATATAAATTGAAGGGCAAAATGTCTAAAAACGCTAAAATTTGAATGCTAAATTTGAAGATTTGACACAATAATTTGAAATGCTTTGCAGTATTATGGCATTTCGGAACAAAAATATTTCATTCTCAGACATTTCTTTATTCAACAAATAGTTCTTGAACGTTGATATGCAAAACAATATGCTCAAAACATTTGTATTACTTTTCCAAATGTATTTTATCAGTAGAATTTTGTTTTAAATTCTAGTCTTAATTTACATGTATTTTACCACATTGGGAAGAAAATACTATGTTCGGAATGTACAGACATAGCTACAAAAATAGTCATTAAGAAAGAAAATATGGCCGGGCGCCGTGGCTCATGCCTGTAATCCCAGCAGTTTGGAAAGCTGAGATTTCCTTTTGGAAAGGCTTTCCAAAAGCCTCCTGATCACCTGAGGTCGGGGGTTAAGAGAACCATCCTGACCAACATGGAAAAACCCCGTCTCTACTAAAGATACAGAATTAGCCCGTCTTGGTGGCGCCTGTAATCCCAGCTACTCTGGAGGCTAAGGCAGGAGAATCGCTTGAACCCAGGAGGCAGAGGTTGCAGTGAGCCGAGTTTGCGCCATTGCGCTCCAGCCTGGGCAACAAGAGGGAAACTCCGCCTCAAAAAAAAAAGATTATTCCTTAAATTCAATGTAAGAATGAATTTACTGAGGCTGGGCGTGGTGGCTCACGCCTGTAATCCAAACACTGGAAGCCAAGGCGGGTGGATCACCTGAGGTCGGGAGTTCAAGACCAGCCTGACCAACATGGTGAAACCCCGTCTTAAAAAAAAAAAAGAATGGGCCGGGCGCGGTGGCTCAAGCCTGTAATCCCAGCTACTCCGGAGGCTGAGGGAGGAGAATTGGCTGAACCCAGGAGGCGGAGGTTGTGGTGAGCCGAGATTGCGCCATTACACTCCAGCCTGGGTAACAAGAGCGAAACTCCGTCTCAAAAAAAAAAAAAGAATGAACTTATTCATAATTAGCTGTAGTATTATTGCACTTGAAGAACTACCATATTTATTATTTTTATGAGTACTATCTATAAATAGTAAATGCTATTAACTACTATCAAAACGTAGGAATTGAGGTCCAAATTTTTAAAATGTAAATTAAATACAAAGAAAGCAACAAAAAGAGATCTTTCATATACAGTTACTGTCTTTTCATGCCCAGCTAATTTTCTAAAGGGTGTGGTTGCTTTCTGTTTTGCCTGATTGGGAGCCCAAACAGTGCTAGAAACTCTTAGCCCTTATTGGGTATATAAATATATATCTTATTTCAAATGTCTTTTATCTTTTCCTACTGAAGATTGTTTTCTTCTCTTTTTTTTTGTGCTCATTATTTCGATGTTAATACCCACTAAAAAGATAATAAATCTACCAGTGCTTTTCTTCAAATCACCGGATTGTCAGTAATAGAAAGTCAACACTGTCAAATCATGAGAATGAATTGCATATCATTGTACAAAAACTGAATACTGGAATTTAGTTCCTAGGTCTATTATATTACAATAATAAGAAAAACTAAAGAATTTAAAAATGTAAACAAAATGCGATCCTCAATTATGTTGCGGCCCGGCATGATGGTCACACCTGTAGTTCAGCGTTTGGGCAGGCCAGAGCAGATGGATCACTTGAGCCCAGAAGTTGGAGACTAGCATGGGCAACATGGCAAAACCTCATCTCTACAAAGAGGAAAAAAGTATTAGCTGGGCATAGTGGCACTTAGCTGTAGACCTGGCTACTCAGGAGGCTGAGGCAGGAGGATTACGTGAGACCGGAGGTCGAGGCTGCAGTGAGACATTCCAGCGTCACTGCACTCCAGCCTGGGTGACAGAGGGAGACCCTCTCTGGAAACGACAACAAAATCATCTTGCCACGTTTCAGTATTTTTAACTCCTTCAACAAGGTGTAGACACTTTTGATATGATGTGTCACATCTCTTTTTGATGTCTAATTTCATAAGAAAGCTCACTCCATTCCTCTTAAAGATGAAAACTAGAAACTTTCTGCCTTCTTTCTTCTTTTTTTTTTTTTTTTTTTGAGGTGGAGTCTTACTTTGTCGCCAGGCTTGAGTGCAGTGGGGCAAACTCGGCTCGTGGGTTCAAGCTATTCTCCTGCCTCAGCCTCCCGAGTAGCTGGGACTACAGGCGTAAACCACCTGTGCCCAGCTAATTTTTGTATTTTTAGTAGAGATGAGGTTTCACCATGTTGGCCATAGTGGTCTTGATCTCTTGACCTCGCGATCTGCCTGCCTCAGCCTCCCAAAATGCTGGGATTACAGGTGTGAGCCACTGCGCCCGGCCATCGCCTTAATTATTTCTTCTGTTGTAACTCCTGCTACCATACTTTTGGAATAGATTTGGTAAGTTAATTTCCTTTATAAGTGGAGTTACTATAGACGGAGTTTTGCTCTTGTTGCTTAGGCTGGAATGCAATAGGGTGATCTTTGCTCACCGCAACCTCTGCCTTCTGGGTTCAAGCGATTCTCCTGCCTCAGCCTCCCGAGTAGCTGGAATTACAGGCATATGCCACCATGCCTGGCTAATTTTTGTATTTTTAGTAGAGACAGGGTTTCTCCATGTTGGTCAGGCTGGTCTTGAACTCCCGACCTCAGGTGATCTGCACACCTCAGCCTCCCAAAGTGCTGGGATTACAGGCATGGGCACAGGTTTAGTTCTCAATTGGTATCGAGTTTCCTAGACTAGGAGGAAATAACAGGAAACCTTCTTGCTGCTTTTGGGGAGGAGGGTGGGTGGCTTTACCCTGGTAAGGACATTCTTATGGCAGCTCAGCCTGTACTCTGTGGTTGAAAATTCAACTCAAACCCATAGGGATAGAATATTTTGTCAACGAAAAACAAATATACCTTGAGTTAGAGGTTACAAATCGTGGTCACAGATGTGTATTGTTTGTCTCTCACAACCTTTAGAAACTTTAAAATTAGTTTTCGAGATTTAAAAAAATAGATTTCAGGGCGGGGCGTGGTGGCTCATGCCTATAATCCCAGCACTTTGGGAGGCCAAGGTAGGTGGATCACTTGAGGTCAGGAGTTCAAGGCTGGCCCGGGGAACATGGTGAAACCCCATCTTTGCTAAAAATACAAAAAATTAGCTGGGTGTGGTGGCATGTGCCTGTAGTCCCAGGTAGATGGGAGGCTGAGGCAGGAGAATTACTTAAACCTGGGCAGTGGAGGTTGCAGTGAGCCAAGATGGCCCCACTGGAAGCCTGGATGACAGAGTGAGACTCTGTCTCTAAATAAATAAATAAAATAGGCTGGGCGTGGTGGCTCAAGCCTGTAATCCCAGCACTTTGGGAGGCCGAGGCGGGTGGATCACGAGATTGAGAGATTGAGACCATCCTGGTCAACATGGTGAAACCCCATCTCTACTAAAAATACAAAAAATTAGCTGGGCATGGTGGCGCAAGCCTGTATAGTCCCAGCTACTCGGGAGGCTGAGGCAGGAGAATTGCTTGAACCCAGGTGGCGAAGGTTGGGGTGAGCCGAGATCGTGCCATTGCACTCCAGCCTGGGTAACAGGAGCAAAACTCCATCTCAAAAAATAAATAAATAAATAAATAAAAATAAAAGATTTCAGATAAGAATACAGAATTGTAAAAAAAAAAAAAAAAAGAATTCAGAATTGTAACTTCTTTTGGAAATTAGAGCTGTGCATTTCTCGCCTGATTACAGACGGTGTTGCTGACTGGCTGCTGCCCTCTTTAGACAGGGCATACACTCCATACATCAGGCACAGTAAAGTTATTTATCTTTGCCACCTGGCCGCCACGGGGATCTGTGTTTGGAATACTGATACGGTTTGGCTCTGTCCCCCAACCCCCCAAATCTCATCTTGAATTGTATCTCCCAGAATTCCCATGTGCTGTGAGAGGGACCCAGGGAAGGTGACTGAATCACGGGGGCCGGTCTTTCCCATGCTCTTCTGGTGGCAGCGAATAAGTCTCACGAGACCTGATAGGTTTATCGGGGGTTTCTGCTTGTGCTGCTTCCTCATTTTCTCTTGCTGCTGCCATGTAAGAAGTGCCTTTCAACTCCCGCCATGATTCTGAGGCCTCACTGGCCATGTGGAACTGTAAGTCCAATTAAAACCTCTTTTTGTTCCCAGTTTTAGTTGTGTCTTTATCAGCAGCATGAAAATGAACTAATTAAGTAAATTGATGCCAGTAGAGTGGAGCATTGCTGAAAAGATACCCAAAACTGCGGAAGCAAATTTGAAACTGGGTGACAGGCAGAGGTTGAAACAGCTTCGAGGGCTCAGAAGAAGACAGGAAAATGTGGGAAAGTTTGGAACCTCCTAGGGACTTGCTGAATGGCTTCGACAAAAATGCTGATAGTCATATGAACAATGAGATCCAGGCTGAAGTTGTCTCATGTGGAGATAGGTGCTAGTTGGAAACTGGAGCAAAGGTGACTCTTGTTATGTTTTAGCAAAGAGACTAATAGTATTTTGCCCCTGCCCTAGAAATTATGGAACTTTAAACTTGAGAAGATGATTTAGGATATCTGGCAGAAGAATTTTCTAAGTAGCAAAGCATTCAAAAGATAACTTGGGTGTTGTTAAAAGCATTCAGTTTTAAAAGGGAAACAGGCCAGGCGCAGTGGCTCATGCTTGTAATCCCAGCGCTTTCGGAGGCCAAGGTGGACAGATCACCTGAGGTCAGGAGTTTGAGACCAACCTGGCCAACATGGTGAAACCCCATCTCTACTGAAAAATCCAAAAATAGCCAGGCATGGTGGTGGGAGCCTGTAATCCCAGCTACTCTGGAGGCTGAGGTGGGAGAATTGCTTGAACCCACGAGGCAGAGGTTGCAG